AACAAAAGAAACAATTGAAAAAATTGACAAAACTAAAAGTTGGTGCTTTGAAAAAATAAACAAAATCGACAGACCCTTAGCGATGCTAGCGAAGAGAAGAAGAGAGAGAACTCAAATTACTAGCATACGGGATGAAAAAGGCAATATCACAACAGACAGTTCAGAAATACAGAAGATAATCAAAAACTATTTTGAATCCTTATACTCCAACAAATTAGAAGATAGTGAAGGCATAGATAAATTTCTTAAGTCATATGATCTGCCCAGATTGAGTCAGGAGGATATAGAAAACCTAAACAGACCAATATCAATTGAGGAAATAGAAGAAACCATAAAAAGACTACCAACTAAGAAAAGCCCAGGTCCAGATGGGTATACAGCAGAATTTTACAAAACCTTTAAAGAAGAACTAATACCAATACTTTTCAAGCTACTTCAGGAAATAGAAAAGGAGGGAGAACTTCCAAATTCATTCTATGAGGCCAACATCACCCTGATACCTAAACCAGACAAAGACACTTCAAAGAAAGAAAACTACAGACCAATATCAATAATGAACCTAGATGCAAAAATCCTCAATAAAATTCTGGCGAATCGGATACAAAAACATATCAAAAAAATTGTACACCATGATCAAGTAGGATTCATCCCTGGGATGCAAGGCTGGTTCAATATACGGAAATCAATAAATGTTATTCACCACATCAATAGACTTAAAAATAAGAACCATATGATCATCTCGATAGATGCGGAAAAAGCATTCGACAAAGTACAGCATCCCTTTATGTTCAAAACTCTAGAAAAACTAGGGATAACAGGAACATACCTCAATATTGTAAAAGCAATCTATGCTAAGCCTCAGGCTAGCATCATTCTGAATGGATAAAAACTGAAGGCATTCCCTCTAAAATCTGGAACTAGACAGGGATGCCCTCTCTCTCCACTTCTGTTCAACATAGTTCTCGAAACACTGGCCAGAGCAATTAGACAGACGAAAGAAATTAAAGGCATCAAAATAGGAAAAGAAGAACTTAAATTATCACTATTTGCAGGTGACATGATTCTATACCTAGCAGACCCAAAAGGGTCTACAAAGAAACTATTAGAGCTAATAAATGAATTCAGCAAAGTGGCAGGATATAAAATCAACACGCATAAATCAAAGGCATTCCTGTATATCAGTGACAAATCCTCTGAAATGGAAATGAGGACAACCACTCCATTCACAATATCCTCAAAAAAAATAAAATACTTGGGAATCAACCTAACAAAAGAGGTGAAAGACTTATACAATGAAAACTACAGAACCCTAAAGAGAGAAATAGAAGAATATCTTAGAAGATGGAAAAATATACCCTGTTCATGGATAGGCAGAACTAACATCATCAAGATGGCGATATTACCAAAAGTTCTCTATAGGTTTAATGCAATGCCAATCAAAATCCCAACGACATTTCTTGTAGAAATAGAGAAAGCAATCATGAAATTCATATGGAAAAACAAAAGACCCAGAATAGCAAAAACAATGCTAAGCAGGAAGTGTGAATCAGGCGGTATAGCGATACCAGACTTCAAACTATATTACAGAGCAATAGTAACAAAAACAGCATGGTACTGGTACCAAAACAGGCGGGTGGACCAATGGTACAGAATAGAGGACACAGAAACCAATCCACAAAACTACAACTATCTTATATTTGATAAAGGGGCTAAAAGCATGCAATGGAGGAAGGATAGCATCTTCAACAAATGGTGCTGGGAAAACTGGAAATCCATATGCAACAAAATGAAACTGAATCCCTTTCTCTCGCCATGCACAAAAGTGAATTCAAAATGGATCAAGGAGCTTGATATCAAATCAGAGACGCGCCGTCTGATAGAAGAAAAAGTTGGCTACGATCTACAGTCGGTGGGGTCGGGCTCCAAATTCCTCAATAGGACACCCATAGCACAAAAGTTAATAACTAGAATCAACAAATGGGACTTAATCAAACTAAAAAGTTTTTTCTCAGCAAAAGAAACAATAAGAGAGGTAAATAGGGAGCCTACACCCTGGGAACAAATCTTTACTCCTCACACTTCAGATAGAGCCCTAATATCCAGAGTATACAAAGAACTCAAAAAATTAGACAATAAGAGAACAAACAACCCAATCAACAAATGGGCCAAGGACCTGAACAGACACTTGTCAGAGGAGGACATACAGTCAATCAACAAGTACATGAAAAAATGCTCAACATCTCTAGCTGTCAGAGAAATGCAAATCAAAACCACCCTAAGATACCATCTCACTCCAGTAAGATTGGCAGCCATTAAGAAGTCAAACAACAACAAGTGCTGGCGAGGATGTGGGGAAAAGGGTACACTTGTACATTGCTGGTGGGACTGCAGATCGGTGCAGCCAATTTGGAAAGCAGTATGGAGATTTCTTGGAAAGTTGGGAATGGAGCCACCATTTGACCCAGCTATTCCCCTTCTTGGTCTATTCCCTAAAGACCTAAAAAGGGCATGCTACAGGGACACTGCTAATCGATGTTCATAGCAGCACAGTTCACAATAGCAAGACTGTGGAACCAACCTAGATGCCCTTCAATAGACGAATGGATAAAAAAAATGTGGCATTTATACACAATGGAGTATTACTCTGCATTAAAAAATGACAAAATCATAGAATTTACAGGGAAATGGATGGCATTAGAGCAGATTATGCTAAGTGAAGCTAGCCAATCCCTAAAAAACAAATGCCAAATGTCTTCTTTGATATAAGGAGAGTAACTAAGAACAGTGTAGGGACGAAGAGCAGGAGAAGATGATTAACATTTAACAGGGATGAGAGGTGGGAGGGAAAGGGAGAGAGAAGGGAAATTGCATGGTAATGGAAGGAGACCCTCAGGGTTATACAGTGGAGGAGGTAGAGAGAGAGGAGGGGAGGGGAGGGGAGAGGTGAGGAGGGGGGAGGGTGGAGGATGGGAAAGGCAGCGGAGCACAACAGACACTAGCATGGCAATTTGTAAATCAATGGATGTGTAACTGATGTGATTCTGCAATCTGTGTATGGGGTGAAGGTGGGAGTTCATAACCCACTTGAATCAAAGTGTGGAATATGATATGTCAAGAAATTTGTAATGTTTTGAACAACCCACAATAAAAAATTTAAAAATTAAAAAAAAAAAAAAATCTGTAAATCATATATCTGGATAAGGAGTTTGTATCCAGAATATGTAAAGAAATTGTATGATTCAACAATAAAAACACAAATAATTCTTTTAAAATTGACTAAAGGATATGAACAGATATTTCTCCAAAGAATAAACTAAAAATGGCCAATACACACTTTAAAGGATATTCATCATCTTTTCAACATCATTCCTCACTAGGAAAATGTAAATCAAAATCACAAAGAGCTAGCATTTTATACCCAAGGAGAACTAAAATTAAAAAGATGACAATAACAATAATGTGGAGAAACTGAACACCCCATACATACTAGTGGAATAAACATAATACAGTGTCTTTGGAAAACAGTTCAGCTGTTATTCAGAAAGTTAAATATGAAGATATTATCTGACCCAGAAATTTTATTCCTAGGTATGTATACAAAAGAACTGACAGCCTAGTTCACACAAAAATTTGTATGCAAATGTTAACAGCAGCAAAATGGCCAAAAACAAAAAACAATGCAAATGTTTACCAACTGATGAATGAATAAAATATGGTATATCCATACAATGAAATATTATTCAGTAATAATAAGGAATGGAGTACATATACATGCTACAACATGTATCAATCTTGAGGAAAAAAAAATATGCTGAGAAAAAGAAACTAAACACAAAAAGTCATATATGGTATTCCACTTATAAGAAAACTCCACAATAGGCAAATTCACAGAGAGCAGATGAGTCATTGACACAGAATGGAAGGAGATAGGCATAGGGAATGACTTAATGGGCATATGGTTTTCTTGGGGAATGATGATAACATTCTGAAATTAGATAGTGATGATGGATGCACAATTCTGTGAATATACTAAAAATCACTGAACTTTACACTTTCAAAGAGTAAATTTTTTGCTATGTAAATTTTATCTCAATAAATCCATTTTTAAAAACCTACAGTATATTGCACATTAAGGGGACTACAGATAAAGAAAATGTATATTTCAAAAAAATCTAAAGAAGAAATCTGAATATATTCACCACAAAGAAATGATAAATGCTTGAAGAGATAGATGTTTACCCTAATTTACATATGTGTATCAAGTCAAACAACCCTACAAATATGTACAATTGTTATGTCAATTAAAAATAATTAATTTTTTAGGGGCTAGAGTTGTCGCTCAGTGATAGAGCACTTGCCTAGCATGTGTGAGGCACTGGGTTCAATCCTGAGGACATTAAAAAATAAATAAATAAAATAAAGGTATTGTGTCCATCCACAACTAAAAAAATATTTTTTTAAAAAAATTCATTCTGAAATGACAAAAACACCTATAATAGAAATTTCACAAAAAAGAAAATGGTAGGATTTGAACTAGGATAAAGAAGCAAAGCAAGATTTAGACAGGTGGAAAAGAAAATGGGGAAACTGTTAAAGTAAGGACAATAGCATGAATTATAGCTCAAATGTAGAAATATGAGCATGGCATATTCAAGGGATAAATTATTATACTGATAGATCAATATTTTTGTATAATGAAATAGTAATAAATAATGCTGAAGATATCGACATATAGGAAAAGAGATGTATACAGGGCAATTTTAGACTAGAGATATTTGAAGTGCAAAACAAATCTATCTAATGAAATTCTAAGATTAATTGACGTAACTAGGTAAAATCAAGAGTCCAGAAGATATGTTTTTTATTTTATACAGGCATAAGAAAAATTAAATATAACTGAACAACACCTAAGAAGTCACTATGGTTTCCAGTTTGAAGGTCAGAAATCAAATACCAAATGAAACAATGACAACTGACTTTGTTTTTGATATTAAACTTACCAGATCTTCAGGAGTTGCCCGATGAACTGTTAGATCATTCACAGTATTCTGCCAAAAAAAAAAAAAAGACACTTTAAAAAAAATTTTTTCTTATAAAATATTAACATTTACTAGGTTCTGATGGCTGAAAATTGATTCAAAACGCTAATACCAAAAATTCTTTCTTTCTAGAAACCAGTATTCTCAATATAAAATTAACACATTATTTACAGTGTTATAGAAAGTAACAGGCCAATTTTAGATGTCTTACAGAAGATAAGTACTCAGTTACATTAAAACAAGGAATAAACAAGGATAATATATATTCAAAATGAGTAAATTTAACTAAAATTGTAATCTTCAAATATCTTAAATATAGAAATTATTACAATAAGAGATGAAATGTATAGGCATTGCATAACCTTATAAAATATGAAAACAGTGACCTATATAAAAGGCATTAAACCAACATGGCAGGGTTATCTCACTGCACAACTCCAGGAAGTATCATGAATATCCTATTCCATGTTAATAGCAACCCCTTGAATGATGTGATGCACAGCTCTAAATAGCAGTCCTGAAATTTGGCACTTTCCAAAATGACATCAGTCATTTTGTCACAGATTTAACAAGGCAGAAAATAAAAACAATTTAAAATTTTACTTTTTTTTTTCTCCCAGTACTGGGGATTGAATCCATGGGCCCTCTACCACTAGGCTCCATCCCTACCCCTTCTTATCTTTTATTTGGAGACAGGATCTTGCTAAATTGACCTTGATTGGCCTTGAACTTGTAATCATTCTGCTTCAGCCTCCAGAGGTCCTGGGATTATGGGAGTGTACCACTATCACTGGCTGAGTTTCACTTCTAAATGGTGGGATATACTAAGAAAACTGAACCAAAATAATTTCCAATATATTCAAAACTAAATTTTTTGACCATGATTTGTATTTAGATCAAGGATTTTTTAAGGCAAAAACTGTTATTCCTTACACATTGATGCAGAGAGGTACAACTATTTTTAATAATCCTAGTAAAATTCAGGCATACAAAAAAGTGACATGCTTAGAATTAGCTTTCATGGGGGAAAATATCATTTTACCAGTACTACTATTGCTTAGAACTATTTTCTTTTGAAATTGCTTTAAATCTAATTATAAGCCATTTCAGAAAATGTTTTGCTATTCTTATCAAAATTCTATTAATTAGTTTGATCTCTCCCCATTCACTCCAAAAGATCTATGACTATTTTCCAAGTGCAGTCTACCTCCAAAAAATAAAATTTTTCCAGCACTGGAGATAACAAAAGCATAAACAAGGAAGGTTCTTGACACAATTTCAAATGATAGGTTTTGATTCAATTTTTGACCAATAGTTACATAATGAATAAATCCTGAACCTCCCAAAGTAACTACTCTGAAGGAGACAACACTTATAACTATTTAGCCAATCAGATCTGCCCAAAATATCTGACTAAGGCAGTCAGTGTTATCCAGAATATTCCAAATCCAAAATAAAATCCCTGAGATCCAAACTAGTCTCTGACTAGTTACTCTCCACAATGGAAAGTAAAGGCACCTAAAGTCTAATGTCCATACCTAAGTATCAAGCTGCAAAAGATAATACCAGGTAATACTCAGATTAGAAGCCAGGATTCATATGTTCCAGGTACTTAAGAGAATCTTGTACTGAATCTGACTACCCTCTGGGTATGCAACAAATAAATCAAGGGGTAAGAGAGCCAGGTTCACCCACGTTTTCAGTCCAAAGTGCCACCCACATAATTATGGTATCACTGGTTATTAAAGGCTAATCTAAAAAAAGTACCAAAATTTAAAAAATTCATAGACTTCAGTGACACAGGTTAATCAGAGTTGCCTTAGAGCAATGAGTTCTCAAAGTGGAGGAGAAGGGACTTTTTTAAAAAATACTTTATGCCTCATGAAAATTATAATTCTTTAAAAGAGCTTGGACATGAGTATCCCAAAGAATTTTGCTTTTTCCTCTAAAATCAAGGATACAACATGCCTAGAAACTTCTTCTACCATATTAAATACTGAGCCCCATTCAAAACATGGTTCTGAGAGGCTAGACCCTTGTCATCATGTCTATTCCTCCAGAGTAACATTATATTATTTATTATCCCACCTAGACTTACATCCCATTCTTGCTTCACTGAAGTTTTCTTCTTCTTCACTTTCAGTGTTTTTCTTCCACTTCCCCGGGGACAGTAACGGTTCACTCTGACCAATGACATCTAGGAATAATATCAAATTTTTTAAATGCATGATGATGGTGATGATGATGATAATTGTAACAGTAGTAATATTGGCATCAGCTATCACAGATTATTTCTTATAAGCCAGATACTATGCTAAGTATAGTATCTTACACATAGTATCTTTTTTAATCCTCACAGTAACTCCATGAAGTACTTAACTGTTTATTACTTATTTTATAGAGAGAAAACTAAGGAACAGAGTTATCCAACTGTAAAGTTCACAGTAAGTAGCAGAGACATAAATATCACTTTAAAAGATATAGAATAGAACTAAAAGTCCAAAACAAACTTACATTCATTGTCAGTTTATTTTCCAATAAGAGTGCCAGGACAATTCAATGGGGAATGAATAATCAGTTCAATAAATGGTGTCGGGACAACTGAATATTCATATAAAAAAAGAATAAGCTATCCCACTACTTCATATCATATAAAAATTTAGTTTAAAATGAATCACATTTAAATGTAAAAGCTAAAACTATAAAACTCTTAGAAATCATAAGCGGTTGGGGATGTGGCTCAAGTGGTAGTGCGCTTGCCTAGCATGCGTGAGGCACTGGGTTCGATTCTCAGCACCACATAAAAATAAAATAAAGATATGTGTCCACCTAAAACTAAAAAATAAATATTAAAAAAAAGAAATCATAAGCATAAATATTTGTGGAACTCCAGTTAAGCAATGGTTTCTTAGCTATGGCACTAAAAGTATAAGCAACTAAAAAAACCAAATTAGACAGCATCAAAATTTAAAAATTTTATGCACAGAGGCACAATCCTTTAAGAAAGTAAAGTAAAAAGACAAACGACAGAATGGAGAAAATATTTGCAAATTATTGTATCTGATTGTGTTAGCTTTCTGCTGCTGTGAAAAACACCCTCTCCCCAACAACTACCTAACTTTCTTCTACTAAGTAATATTCTCTAAAGGTTCCACCACCTCCCAATAGCACCACTGGCTGGTAACAAAGCCTTTAGCAAATGGGCCTTTGCAGGACATTTAAGATCCAAACCATAACACTGATAAAGGATGTATATTCAAAATATATCAAGAATTCTTATAACTCCATTACAAAAAAAAAATTTTTTAAATAATTTAAAATGGGCATAAGACTTGAATAAACATTTCTCCAAAAAAGATACTACAGAAGGCCAATAAGCACCTGAAAAGCGGCTCAATTTAAGCAATCCCTAGGGAAGTACCAACGAAAATCACAATGAGATATCATCTCATACCATTAGGATTGCTATAATAAAAAACAATAAGCAGTGACAGATGTGGAGAAATTGGAATCCTCATATGTTTACTGATGGGAATGTAAAATGATATAGGCACTCAGGAAAACAGTTTGGCAATGCATCAAACAGTTGAACAAGCAGCTACCACATGACCCAGCAATTCTATTCCTAGGTATATACCCAAGAGATTTAAAAGCATATGGTCACACAAAAACTTATACATGAATGTTCATAGCTGTATTATTTTTAATAGACAAAAAGTGGAAACATCCTAAATAATTACCAATTGATAAATGTATAAATAAATGTGATATATCCATAAAATGGAATATTATTTGGCAATAATAAGGAATTTAAGTACTGATATATCCTACAACATGGATACAACTTGAAAACTACACTATAAGAACAGCTGAACACAAAGACCACATATTGTATAAGAACATTTTATCTATGTCCAGAATGGGCAAATCCACTGACATATAAAGTAGATAAGTAGTTGCTTAGGTCTGGAGGGAGGAGAGAAAAGAAAGCTACTGCTAATGAGCAAAGGGTCTCTTTGTGGGATGACTAAAATGTTCTGGAATAGTGATGATGCTTGTACAACTCTGTGAATATATTAAAACCTTCTAAATTGTATTCTTTAAAAGGACAAATTTTGTGATTGCTAATTATCTCTAAATAAAGGTGTTATCTAAAAAAAATATAGGAAAATATAATAGTTGCTGGATAAAAGGAACCTAGTGTATTTTAACCACCTAGATCTTTAACCACTTAGATTTCTAATTTAGTCTGTAGAAGCAAAGGGGAATTGTAATGTCAATAAATCTATATGAATAGAATATAGAAGTTTGTGTATAATACATCCTCAATGATGCTTATATGCATTATTAATAAAACAATTCTGTGTGCTAAAAAGCATCACATTTAATCCCACAACTCTAGGAGGCATGTATTGTCTTGAGAAAAAATATGGAAGAGAACAATCTGGATACAGACTGGGTACACACTTGGTTTTGCCACTAACTCTAAAATGGAACTAATTCAATATGCAAAGTGTTTAGAATCCCTGCCTGGTAGACACTAAGTCCTGCTTAGCTGTCAATAATGATGTCAGTAAAAACAATCATTAATTCCTTTCCCAAATGAGAAAAACAAGATTTAGAGAGTATAAGTTAATTGCTCAAAGTCACAAAAATAATAAGAAGAGCAGAAAACTGACACTCAAAACCAGGTCTTACTGACTGTAAAGTATAAACTAGAAAACTGATAAAACTGGATTAACTGTGCTTGAGTTCATATTTGCCAAATTTTCTACAATGAATCTATGTTACTCTTTAAAATAGGGGGAATTTTTATTTGAAGTTTTAATGTTTAAAATATTACTCTTATTTAGATAGTAAAATTCCACCAGCCTCAATTCTAAAAAACAGTCTGAATCTGAAGGACACAAGGGCTTCTGAATAGCCAAAACCAGTTGTCAAAAGGCCCATATATTTGCTTCTTTTCATAGAAGAAGCCCTGATATAACAACAAAAATTTAAGAAGTCTTTTATCATGCTATTTGTACACTAATAATGACTTGTGATAGAAAATACAATGCACCCAAACAAAAAAATTTAAGCAAAAATATATGAAAATTAATATAAGGACATGATCAAATACCTAAGTATCAGCATGAATGTGAAAAGTTGCCAATTTTAACACAAGAAAATGTTATTCAATGAAACCATATTCATGTGACACAGTGATAAAACAAAGGTATGCATCTGTTTTCATATTTTCACTTGGTAATTCAACCTAGTAAAGCTAGTTGTGAATGACCTCTAATGAGTCCCACCCTTGTATAACTCTCCCTTATGTTTGGGCAGGAACTATGACTTGTGATTGCATTATGTTACACAACATAATCATAGATATGACCATAGCAAAAGATGCTCTCCTATAGGCCTTGAAGAAGCAAAATGCCACATTATGTCTGTGGAAAAGGCCCATGGCACAGAACTCAAGCAGCTTTGAGGATCTGAGGGCAGTACTCAGTAAGAAGCTGAGGGCAGCATAGGGGAGGCTCAGTGATACAGACATCTAAAGGAAATTAATTCTGCCAACAACCTCAGTGAGTCTGGAAGTGGAGTTTACCAAGTTGAGCCTCCAGATGCCAATGCTGATTGGCCAACATCTTTCTTACAGCTTTGTGAGACCCTAAGCACAGAATTCAGCTAAGCTTGTCTAAAGTCATAACCTATGGAAATTGAGACAATGTCAAAGTTTGAATATGGTTCGTCCCTTCTGAAACTCATGTTAAAATTGGATTGCCTTTGTGGCAGTATTGCGAAGTTGGGCTTTTAAGAGATGATTGGGTCATTAAAGAGATTGATGCCTTTCTGAGGACTGGCTTAATTCTCTTGGAACTGGATTGGGTATCCAGAGAGTGGGCTGTTTTTTATAAAAAGAAGCTGCCCTCTTGTTTTGCCTCTTCTGACCATGTTATGAAACAACATGAGATCTATACCAGATGTAGCTACCTGATCTTGGATTTCTCAGACTCCAGAACTATGAGCTAAATAAAACTTTTCTTAATAAATTGCCCAATATTACACAATAATAATAATAAATTACACAATAATGTGTAATTGTTTTATATCACTAAATTGTGGTAATTTGTTAAATAGTAAACTAGCAACCGGCTGACTCTAAATAAGCCCTGTAAGATAACTAAGATTAAGTAATTACGCAGCTAACCTATCTCTGGCCTTCCCTTTGCCAACAAACTTCCTAAAGAGGCAAATTTTAACACTTATTTACTAACATAATTATACCTCAAGTTTCTGCTAACATAAGAACTCTGATCCCATCTTTGCACTGAAAAATGTTCTCTTGAATATCACCAATAGTAGTGATGACATTTTTCTCAAGAAAGGATCAGACTTTGTGGTTTAACAAAGAAATTTTGTGCCACTTATAGAAACCAGAGATCATAAGAATGCATTATTGAGCTGGGGATGTGGCTCAAGTGTTAGCATGCTTGCCTAGTATGCATGAGGCACTGGGTTCGATTCTTAGCACCTCATAAAAAATAAAATAAAATAAAAAGATATTGTGTCCACCTAAAACTAAAAAATAAATATTAAAAAAAATAATGCATTATTTATTGCTAATATGTGAGGACAGAGGTATTCTGATGGTTTACTGTGCTAAGAAATCAAATAAAATTAGTACAGCCCAGAAAATCCAGGCCTATCTTTGGAAAATCTGAAATACTACCAACTTTCCAATTACTAAAATTACTGGTTCCTTCTTATTTGTCAGACACTTTCCTTCAGTGCAGACTCTCAACTCTTAGAAACCCTTTCTTCCATTGGGTTCCATGACATTCTTTCTCCTTTTTTTTTTTTTTTTTTTTTTTCTCCCTCACAGAATATTCTGACTCCTCCTCACATACATCTTAAGCAAGGACTCTACCCAGTTCTTCCCCAGCCCTATTACCTTTCCATTAAATCCAAAAATTGGGGAAGTAGATTATAGATCATGTACTGGCTGGGCATTGGAGATAAAATACTAAAATTTCTAATATGATGTCAGTTCTTATAGAGCTTACTTTTTAGATCACCAAGGGATATTCACATCTTCCCTCAGTGATCTCACCAAATCCCTTAAACAAAGTTGTGAATACCGTGGGCACACAAACTGCTGAACTGAGTACCAAATCAAAAATTCATACCTTTCCTAAAAATACTAAA